AAATCCCACCAGCAGCCATAGGTCATCTTCATGTCAGCATGACCAAGCATCCATCAACTCATCCTCATGTCAGCATGATGTGTACTTTCATGGGCTCACGAATTGGGCTTGGCTGAATCAAAATATGACTTTAAGATATCCATTTTGAAGTTCGGAATGTCTCTGATCCAACCACACAAGTATTGGCCCAATCCAAGCTCGGATGAAGAAGATAAGGCCGAAATGAACTTCTAACTTAGTTTCCAGTTTTTGCACGTTTTGCACCATTTTGCTTCAAAAATGATCTCTTGCTGCCTTTAACCTACAGAACACACAAACATAGGTAAGTGACTCGAAATAAAGAGAAACTAAACAAAATTACTAAGTAACGAAGGCATGCAAATGTGTGAAATTATGAACTTATCAAGTACAAACTCAATGGAGTCTTTTTCGAGCACTATGTCCTTGACATACGCCCGTAGGCGACAAGCCTTACCTCTATTGAAGGCAAGCTACTTCCCGAGTACAAACTCAATCGAGCCTTTTTCGAGCGCAATGTCCCCGACATACACATGCAGGCGACAAGCCTTACCTCTATAGAAGGCAAGCTACTTCATTTCCTGAGTACAAACTCAATGAAGTCTCTTTCGAGCGCTATGTCTCCGAACATACACTTATTAAACAAAAGGAATTATAAAGTTAAAAAAATATATAGCAAATAGGGACTACATCTATTAGGGGACTTCAACAGATGACTCTTAGCCAATCACACCCTCAGCTACCTCTTGATCAACCACATTGACAACAGCCTCATTATGCTCAACCGGCACCATCTGCTTGGTAGCCCCAATTGCTTTCTCATTTGTATTTGCCCTAATCTCATCAGCTGCACCACCTTTGGCGTTGTCTTCCTCCATTGCAGCTTCGTCAGCTACCTGCTCTTCAACTGCTTTTACATCCATAGCATTGATCTGCTCACTTTGAGCAGGGGCAGGTCAAGATAGAGCTGCTCACCATCTTCATGTTCGAGAGGGCAACAAGGAGGAGCACCGTTCCTGCAGTCCAGCTTGGACGCCTTTGCAGCTTCAACATGAGTGTTAAACTTAACCAACAGAGCTATCACCAACTCCCCGATCGGCAGTTCGTGCAATTGAAGGACTCTTTGCTTGAGCAGACGACTCTTTAGCTCTCTTGGCCACAACTTGCAACATTGAGTCAACTCCGCGCTTGACTGCTCGTGGTCTCACAGACGAGTCATGATTGCTAGGCAGAGGTACAATCCTCTCAGTTTGATCCCTGAATCAGTGCAGACAACCCAAACCTTGCTTCTCAGCGGCCTCCTTACAAGGCAGATCACAGGTTTTGGGCAGTTCAGGCTGAGACCTGAGCAGAATATCCTGGACCTCTTGCATGCTTTTGACATTTTTACTGTCGCGCTGACAAGGCGCTTGATCCCAGCAGATGGAGAAGGAGCAACTCCCATAGGGATATTCTTAGCACATGAGACCCCCTTGAGGAAGACTTACTCTTGACAGAAAGAGGAAGTTCGATCGAGGACTCTTCCTGATCAGCTAACAGATCATCTAGGTATGAGCCATACAGCTTCCATCTTCCAACATCTTCGGTAAGGAGCAAACCACCAACCTCCTTCTGATGCTCGCTCATCAACCAGTGCCATTCACGGAACCTGATAGGGATGTTCAGAGCTTGCTGAACCTCGGTCATGTTTAGGCTGAGATTGAGCTTCTTGCAGAAGTCATTCTCTGCAAGCATAAGAAGAAAGTCAATTAGATACATAGCAAAGTTTTAGAAAGACTATAGCATATCAAAGGGGAACAACTTACCATCATAGTAGGTGAGAGGAACGAGCAGACCATCACCGACCTCCCTTTCCTATCTGCAGATGACTTCCAGCACGTTCGTGTGCCATACATGATCGCCTTGACTCATACTATCAAAAGATTAGCAAGTCAAAGACCTTCTTCATTCAGGAGCCCAAGTCACAGAAGGATGCCCAGTTACAGCTAGACAGCTCAACAGTTAATTCACACCTCCTCTATGCCACCACGGCCACGCAGAAGCTGAGGGGCATTTGTGGAAGCAAATTATCTACGGATCCTAGGTCAAATAATTAAGCCAATCACTTTGGGAATTATTTTATTCTTACCCTAATTAGGAATCAAATCCCTAATTAAATCAATCTCTCCAAATTTGGGAAGAATAATTCCTTTTCATATGTGTAATTATTCTTCCGAAAATCTAGCCTTCGAGGCTCCTATAAATATATGGCTACACCAAGGCTTGAGGTAATGCTAAATTTCTGTCTGAAACTCTGTAGAAATTCTTTCTCACAAACCCTAGCCGCCATACTCTTTCTCTCTCTCTCTCTCTCTCTCTCTCTCTCTCTCTCTCACACACACACACACACACACAAGGCTCCGGCCACCTGGTTCTTACCCTAGAGAAATCTCTATCCTTTTGTTAGCTATTGTTTTCCATCAAACACTCGACTTAACTTAGGCATCAGAGGGCCTTTGGCCAACACTCCCTGGGTGTAGTCTTTGTGCTCCATATTATTTTGCAGGGAGAAAAGAGAAGCGAAAAGGAAAATGGAATATTCAGACGAATATTCTTTGTGGATGAAAATCGCTCCCACAATCCCAATATCACGGTTTCATTGCAGTGAAATTGCGGTAGAAAATGCCGGCCTAGATATGAGGTGATATTTTTATATAAAATTAGGTGGGACTCAATATACCTACTCTTTTAGAGCAAGAAAATACCTATGTGTCAAAGTAAATTCCTTCGCTTTATATGAATTTTTAAATATGTTTTTTTATCCACCCTTGTAATTCTTGTACCATGGGGTCCAGGAAGGAGAACGGGACTGGCTGTAAATAAGTCAAATTAAATGGGGCAAAGGTGATTGCTGGTCCGTTAAAAAAATAAAAGAATAAAAGATGATTGCTGGTTGTCGGATCCAGAGTCAGAGAGATGCTGTGTCCGTTGGATAAGCTACGGTATCTCGAATCGAACGTTCAGACGAGCCCCAGGCCCCACTAGTGGTCCCGTATCCATTGACTTTACCATAAACCTGAATTGTATTAAGACACGCTGCTGTGCTTCTCTGGTGGAACTTCAGCCTGTAGCTCCTTCTCACTTCTTGCTGTGAGTTCTTGCTTTTAACATACACCCAGGTCAGGCTCCAACTACTAATTTCTCTAACACCATCTCATGATTTCTTTACATTTTGTATTTTCCCCATTTTGATATGATCTGCTTTCTCTTAGTCATGTTGTTGCTGATGATGTTGTTTGGCTAATTTTAATTTTGGCTTCAAAATTTTGGGAAATGCTGAAAGGGAATTACAAAAGTTGTACTTTTGAATACTTGATATATGTTAATATTGAGGCAAAATAAAAGATTAGTGAGCTCAATTTATGATACCTCTGTAGTCGCAGATTTGATGTTTTTGTTGGACTTGAGGGTTTCCTCGATCCTCAAGTGAATATGGGGAGGCTTTGTAGGCAATGGAGGGGAGGAAAATCAGGGGAAGATAATAATCAAGATTTAAAAAATTGATTCTTTAGATTTTTTTGGATACCAGTGATATTGGAAGAAGGGGGATTCGAAGACATGACCTCAGGTGCAGGATAACTGCACTTCACCATCAAATGAATATTTTAAATGTCTAAAGCTTTCAGATGTTGGATTAAATTTGATGGCTGGTAATGAACTTGGCGCTCACAGTCCCTCAAAATTAGTCCCTCGTGTGAGCAGCTCTGAATAAAAGATTAGTCAGGTCAATTTATGATACCTCTGGGATAGTTTAGTATAGTATGTGTATGTCATTTTGTACATGAGTTCAAATAAGTAAATCAGCAACCGACCAAAAAATTGAAAAAGTAGATCACCAATAGGAAAATGTATTGATCTTCTTTTTTTTTTGTTTTGTTTTTTTCTGGTAATTGTAAGTATTAATTTATAAGGTTGAAATACTTACCAAATTGATTAATTGCCTTATCTGCACTGTCTCCTCTCTCCAGCAGATTGCTTTGTGAAATTAACCTCATCTCCGTTCTCCTGTAAGTTGGCACAAACGAGAAACCAGTCTGAAATGGCGTTGAGCACCTCATCTATTCCTCCAGCTTCTTTATGGAAATATGATGTCTTTCTGAGTTTTAGAGGTGAAACACGCAAGAACTTTACGGCCCATTTATATAAAGAACTTCTGGATCAAGGAATTACAGAGACATTCTTGGATGACACAGAACTTCAAGTAGGAAAACCAATTTCTGAACTCTTCTCAGCAATTGCACAGTCAAGATTTGCCATCATTGTGATCTCTCAAGATTATGCTTCTTCAACCTGGTGCCTAAATGAACTTTTAAAGATTCTTGAATGCATGAAAGCCAGAGGGACAATTTTACCAATTTTCTATTCTGTGGAACCTGCCGATGTTGGAAAGCAATTAGGAAGTTTTGTACAAACCTTCACTAAACTTGAAGAAAGGTTTAAGGATAACATCAACAAGGTGAAGAGGTGGAGAGATGCTTTAGGGACAGTGTCTAAAATCAAAGGGTGGACTACAAAGGATAGGTTAGCATTACTTCTTTTTCCCCTCGACCCACTTATTGGAGCACATATAATAATTGTGAATTTATATTTTATATATCACCTTTGTAGGAGAGAAAGTGACTTATAATTCGGTTCTATTTTGATATATTTTTTGTAGTGAGTACATTTAATTTGCCTAGACCTGATGCATGAAAAACGGACACAAAAAATATTTCATGAAAACATTCATATCACCCATTCATAAAAAGAATTTATATGGGAAGGCTAAGTTTCTTTTAGGATAAATAATTACTGGGAAGAGGATTCAGACTTGGGAACGTTGGGAAGGGAAATTGTCACTCGATCCAATGTTAGTTGGTCATAGAATACACTTTTTAAATAATTTTTATCACTTATTAATTCTTTATGAAGTTTCTTGGGCTTACTCCAAAATATGCATCGTAACAGGGAAATATTATTGAAAATGTTTTTTGGTCCACTGTGAGGAGTTCGTAATTTGAAGTCAGATGCTTTCTTGACAGAGTTATGATATTACGGACAACTTATTACACTAACTTTTGACAATAACTGATGTGAAAGTGATTTATTTGTTTTCATTCTGTGTCTTCTGTGAACTTTATTTATTCATAGCAAGTAAAAATTGTTGTATCCATTGGTATCTCAAAGTTGGTGTTTTTAGCATTATTGTTTCATTAATAAGGAGTTCTTAGTTTTTGGGTTGAATGGCTACGATGAAATGGGTAGCCCTGGGTCCAATCCAAAACTACTTCTTATAAAAATGCAGGTGGAGCTACCACTCGGCTACTAGAAACAAAATGGAAAGTGTATTTTTATCCCTTTTTTGTCTATTCACGACTCATTAGTTCAGGCATGCTTGGCCTTGATTATTGTCTTTTCTTCTTGAAGATATGAACCAGAGCTCATCAAAGAAATTGTTGACAAGGTGCGTACCTTAGTACATCCTACATGGTCGGCGCCTGAAGAAAAGCTGGTTGGAATTGATTCAACATTGGAGCATCTACATAGGCTTCTAGATACAGAGTCAGATGATGTACGTTTTATAGGGATATGGGGGTTGAGTGGGATAGGTAAGACAACTATTGCTGAGAGAACTTGTGCGAGGATTCTTCATAAATTTGAAGGCAGCTGCTTTCTTGACAGAGTTAGAGATAAGGTTTCTCAAACAGATGGTCTAAAAAATCTAAAAAGAGAGCTCCAAAATATGCATCGTAACAGGGAAATATTATTGAAAATGTTTTGTGGTCCACTGTGAGGAGTTCGTAATTTGAAGTCAGATGCTTTCTTGACAGAGTTATGATATTACGGACAACTTATTACACTAACTTTTAACAATAACTGATGTGAAAGTGATTCATTTGTTTTCATTCTGTGTCTTCTGTGAACTTTATTTATTCATAGCAAGTAAAAATTGTTGTATCCATTGGTATCTCAAAGTTGGTGTTTTTAGCATTATTGTTTCATTAATAAGGAGTTCTTAGTTTTTGGGTTGAATGGCTACGATGAAATGGGTAGCCCTGGGTCCAATCCAAAACTACTTCTTATAAAATGCAGGTGGAGCTACCACTCGGCTACTAGAAACAAAATGCAAAGTGTATTTTTATCCCTTTTTTGTCTATTTACGACTCATTAGTTCAGGCATGCTTGGCCTTGATTATTGTCTTTTCTTCTTGAAGATATGAACCAGAGCTCATCAAAGAAATTGTTGACAAGGTGCGTACCTTAGTACATCCTACATGGTCGGCGCCTGAAGAAAAGCTGGTTGGAATTGATTCAACATTGGAGCATCTACATAGGCTTCTAGATACAGAGTCAGATGATGTACGTTTTATAGGGATATGGGGGTTGAGTGGGATAGGTAAGACAACTATTGCTGAGAGAACTTGTGCGAGGATTCTTCATAAATTTGAAGGCAGCTGCTTTCTTGACAGAGTTAGAGATAAGGTTTCTCAAACAGATGGTCTAAAAAATCTAAAAAGAGAACTTTGCAAGAGCCTTATGAACAGAAATATAGAAGACTGGGCCTTTGATATACAAGGCACAATCAAAAGGCTCTTATCTCACAAAAAAGTTCTTCTTGTTCTTGATGATGTGGATGATAATAGTCAATTAGAAGAGTTATGTGGGAACCAAGATGGGTTTGCTCCAGGGAGCAGAGTCATTATTACAGCAAGAAATGAACAATTGTTAAGAAGACATGATGTGAACAAAACAATTGAGCTGCAGAAGTTAAATGACCAAGACGCTCTTCAACTTTTTAGCTTGAAAGCCTTTGGAAGAGATTATCCAGATAAGGGCTATGTAGCTCTGTCTAAATGTTTTGTGAGTTATGCCAATGGCCTCCCGTTAGCTCTTAAACTCTGGGGATCATCTTTGCATAAAGCAGATCAAGATGAATGGAGAAGTAAATTGGGTAAACTGAGAGATAATTTTGATGGAAAAATTCTGGAGAGGCTTAAAATAAGTTTTGATGAATTAGATGAAGAGGAGAAAAGTATTTTCCTTGATATCGCATGCTTCTTTACGGGAAAGTACAAAGATGAAGTGGTTGAAAGACTACACGGCTTTCGTTCCCGCGTAGACAACACTATAAAAGTTCTTATCAGGTGGTCTATGTTAATAGTTTCAGATAATATGGTGTGGATGCATAATTTGTTACAAGAAATGGGTAGAGCAATTGTTCGTGAAGAGTCAAAAGAACCTGGTGAACGTAGCAGGTTGTGGCTTTCAAAGGACATTTTTTATGTTTTGAGAAATAATACGGTAAGAGCTTACATGGATACATCAGTAACACATGAATCTAGCAAAATCAACAGAGTATAAAGCAGACTATTATGTTTACTCATCTTCCATTCCATATAATGTGCACATCACTTACCCTTCATGATGTTTTGCAATTGAGTTGTTCTTTATTCTTGGTTATTAGGGGACATCAGCAGTTGAAGGCATTGTCTTAGACCATCGTGAATCAGAAGTGTGTGAATGCCATCCCGAAGCCTTTTCAAAGATGTTTAATCTTAAATTTCTCAAACTTCATAATGTGTACCTTCATAAAGGCCTCGCATGTCTCCCTAACTCCTTACAATTTCTTGAATGGAAAGGTTATCCTTTAGATTCTCTCCCCTTAGGTTTCAAACCGGATAAGCTTGTTGAACTCAGCATGTGTCATAGTAGGATTGAACAGCTTTGGAGTGGAATAAAGGTACAATTCTACAACTGCAACATATAATCTGTTTATCAGAGCAAAATGTAAGCTTCTCCTTAATCTATTTTTTATCACTTTCTTGTAACTCTAACAGGATTTTGACAAGTTGAAAGTCATCAAACTTAGTCATTCAAAAAGTTTGACTAGCACCCCCGATTTCAAAGAGGTCCAAAATCTTGAGAGACTAGATCTTGAGGGATGTGAAAGTCTAGTTGTGATCCACTCATCCATACGAGTTCTCAAAAAGCTTCTTTTCTTGAATCTTAAAGACTGCAAAAGTCTTGATAGTTTGCCAGGTGAGATTGCAATGGAATGCCTGGAAATTCTTATCCTTTCTGGTTGCTCAAATGTTAAAAGGATTCCTGAATTTGTTGGATATATGGAGAATTTGTGGAAGATTTCTTTAGATGGGACAGCTATTGCAGATATACCATCATCAATTGAAGGTCTGACTAAACTTTCTGTTCTTGATATTAGAGATTGTGTAAATCTGACTCGTCTTCCAAACACCATTGGCAAATTGAAGTACCTTAAAAGTCTTAATGCTTCTGGATGCACACAACTTGCAGAACTGCCTGCAAGCTTTGAGGAACTAGTGTCTTTGGAAAAGCTTGATTTAAGTGGAACTGCCGTAGAAAAATGGCCCTTTTCCGTTGTCCATTTGAAAAATCTAGAATCATTTCTTTTCCGTGGACCAAAAGGGCGATCACCACAGCCATGGCATGTGTTGCTCCCTTTTAGATGGCCATTGATGAGTCGTCAACCTATGACTGAGTTCTTGCCTCGTTTGTCAGGGTTATGTTCTTTAAGGGAGTTAGATCTACGTGATCACAATCTTCGGGATGGAACAATCCTCGCTGATATTGGTTGCTTATCTTCTTTGGTATCATTGAACTTGAGTGGAAATGATTTTGTTAGCCTTCCTGAAAGCATTAGCCAGCTTTCTCAGCTTGAGAACTTATATTTGAGTGGTTGCCGGAGTCTTGAACACCTTCCATTCCTTTCATCAACTAAAAGTTTACAAGTGACTGCCGATGGATGCACTTCATTGGAAAGGCTCCAACATCCATTGAATTTGGATACATTAAATTCTTCATGTTTCAATTTGATGAATTGCTTTGGATTGGTTGAGAAAGAAAGCCACGACCATAAAACATTCACTATGCTCCAAAAATACCTTCAGGTGCGCTCATCAACTCGCATTCATTAATTCCTTCATTCATTCAATTGTTCATTCATTGTCTAACACCACAATTTCTCGTGTATAGAGAATCTCGTATCCACGAGATAGGTTTGAAATTGTAATTCCTGGAAGTAATATTCCTTGGTGGTTCAGTCATCAAAGAGTGGGATCTTCAGTAAGAATACAGGTAACTCCGAATTGGTGTAGTAACAAGTGGATGGGATATGCTCTTTGCGCTGTTTTTCAAGTTTTCAGCAGTGGATGGGAGGTCTCTTGTATTTTGCAAGTCAATGGAAAAAGAAAGTACCCTGCGCCTGCATTATCAACTGATGTCCAGCCCGTTTCGGATCATCTTTGGCTATTCTATGTGACTCGTGACACAAGCTTTGGTACCGAATGGCAAAAGAGTTGTGATCAGTTAACATTTTCATTTGAAAGCTCAGGCCCCAGCTTGGTCAAGAGTTGCGGTGCCCGTTTGATTTACGAACGAGATGTGAAAGAGTTCAACGAAGTATTGACACAATCCAGCAGCAACATCTCTACTTAAAAACACAATGAGGGGAAAGGACACAGTGGAACTCATAGTTTTGATGAAGAATTATAGTTCAAATTCACCTTTGCCGCACCAATTATCTAATTCCCTCCCTAATGTCATAAGAAGCCCAAAGATATTTCAAGCCCAATATAACATATAATATTAGTCATGCATTAATCCAAGTTGTATTTTGGGAATTAATTTTTTAAATAAATATAAAAAATAATGTACATGTCATGCCAAGTTAATAATACATTTTTCTATGCTAAACCACCTGACAAGCTTAAGTGGGCTAAAGCCACATAAATGCTTAGGGCTTGTTGAGCGGGTTGTGGTGTGGATGGTTATAAGGGTCCATTAGGTCTGTTGAGGGATCAGAGAGAGTTTTGAGCTGTTTAGGGGCACATTTCCTCATACAACAAATAAAGTCCTACTATCATCGCCTCTTCTGCCAACATTAAAGTCGCAGCCATTGCCAGCCTCACCTTCATGCGTCAAAACCTGTAGTAACCAACAGTCAAACTCAATTAAAGCCCATCCTCCAGCAACTACCTATTTCTCATGTAACAACATTAAAACCCAATTTTCTTGCAACCACTAAGAGCTCAAACACCTATAAATTGGAGACATTAGTTACCCAGGAGGGGGAGATAGACGAGCATGACAGGAAGAGCAAGCATATCCTCTGACTGCGTAGAGTACCATAACTCAAGTCCACCTTTCCATGCCTTTCCCAAAAACTCGAACCATTCCAGCATCCATGCCTCAAGCAAATCTCTCCTTGTTGCTAAACTTATGGGCTCTTAGCTCCCACTCCACAAGTCACTCAAGTTAAGCCTAAACTTTTGATTCACTTATCTTTATTTGCTTGGTGAGAAAAACCAGAGTATCATTAAGAATCAGCATTCTTTCGGGTATTTTGGGCTTAGTTCTTGAACCCAGGCAAAGGGGCAACTTTACTTTTTCTTTATAGTGGTCCAGGTCTACCTAGAGTTGCTAGAACAAAAAGACCCCACATAAATGGCGACTTCACTGGGGACTAGGCCATTTTCTCTTGTAGTGACTCCTCAACAACCACAAGCTTTATGATCTTTTCAGGCCACTAAATGGAGCACCCATGCCACTGAGGTACCGGAGATACCAAAGCAAACTCCACAACCATCCCCAAATCCAGATGACTTGAGGGCTTTGTGCCAAGCAAATCTAAAGCAAAATCAAAGAAAAAGTTTTCAAGCTCAAGAGAACAGAGCATACAAAGCAAAGAAGAGAAATAAAAACTTGAGTAGAAGAAGGTTGAGCTCAACATCCATTCACCGACTGGGGGCTTCAGCCAACATGTAAGCCGCTGACCACTGCCTTTCACTTCCATCTCCACCATGAAACACTTTCAGCAAGCCTGAAGAATCGCCAAAATCCCTTATGCTTTCCAAATAGAAAGCATGAAATTGATTATGTGGCTAAAGCAAGCAGCGAAAAAAAAAATCTAGTAAGCTAATATACCAATATGCTGCCATCCACATCTACATCTACTTGTGGGTGTCTGGATATCTTGGCTTCTGCGAACTCTCACTCTCCTCTCACTCAGTCAAAACACAAAGCGAGAATAAAGAAGAAAGAGAGCGAACCACAAGGCCACTGCAAGTTTTCTCTGAATCTCTGATAGACCGCACCTTGGCCATGATGGCACCGTCTCTTTCCTCCGTGAGCCTCGTCACCGCTCACTGAGCCTCCTCCCTTTCATAAGGGCAGCATATCATTTTGCCATGATCAGTGTTTTATTTTCAAATCTCTATGAGCCAGTGGTCTCTTCTCTTTATTTAGCTTACTTATGAGTTCCCCTCTCTTTCATCCAAAGCCTGAACTTTTTTGCGATCTCTATCTCTGCTGTATTTATTTTTGTTTACTTCACAGCATCTCTTTGCCTCTCTCTCACTCATGCTATCTAATAAGCCTATATTTTATATATATTTTATGCATCCTTTACTTATTTATTTGTTAATTTCATTGGATTAAATTGGTTGTTTTAATTGATTTTGTGACATGTGTGAAGGAATTCTGAAATAGGAGAAAGTGTGCTAAAAAGGGCAAGAAGATGAAGATTGGAGATTAATTAAAAAGAAGCCAAGTCTCTCTCATTAAAAAGGAGAAAGTGTTGCAAGGAATGCTGTCAAATGTCCTAATTCAAGATGACTCAAGTCTTATCAAGTCAAACAAGGAGAAATAAAGAATACCATATTTTAGAAGGAATCCTACTTTTATAATAATTGTAATTATATCTTAAATAGTATGCCTTCGCGGGTTTTGGACTTCCAGACTCCACTCCAAACGCTTGCCAATTATGGGCCCCTGCCATTAGTTTTGATGCTTCCACCACGAATCTTTGGTTGTGTGGCGTTCGTTCATCTCCATAAAAATCAACGTAGCAAACTCGATCCATGTGTGCTCCGATGTGTTTTTATGGGAAATGCTGCTCATCAGAAGGGATATCGGTGTTATCATCCTCCTACTCGTCGTACCTATGTCACTTTGGATGTCACTTTTATGGAGTCTGAGTTGTTCTTCCTAGACCCGATGTCCAACTCACCGCTTCAAGGGGAGATACAGAGAGAAGCGCAGACTTGGAGCTTTCTCGAAAATCTAGAAATTCAAGATTGGAGCAAAACGACCGGTCGCATAGACCCCAGCGATCGGCCGCCTCGAAACAGTGAGCCACTCGATCCAATCCGTCCAAAAATGACCGGTAGCGAAGACCCTAGCGACCGGCCGCCTCGAAACAATGAGCCACTCTATCCAATCTGTCCAAAAACGACCGGTAGCGAAGACCCCAGCGACTGGTCGCCTCGAAGCAGTAAGCCATGCAATACAATATGTCCAAAAATGACCGGTTGCGAAGACCTCAATAACCAGTCTCCTCGAAGCAGTGAGCACGACATTTTTTCCAGATACATCGATGATTGTGAGGAAGACCCCTCTCACTCAATTGTACCTACTGATCAATCTCCTTCGAATAATCCTAAGGTAAGTGCTTCTACTACATCTACTAATTTAGTTGATGACTTTGTTAGATACCAGTTACCTATTAGACAGAACCGAGGAAAACCACCAACTCCGTATTCTTCGAATAATGGTAAAGTATCAAAGTGTCCAATTGCAAACTATGTGTCTACTGAAGAATTGTCAGAACCTCTCAAGGGCTTTATACATCAGTTATATGCTATTCACATTCCAACCAAAGTGACTGAAACATTGAAGGATCTGAAATGGGTTCTAGCAATAGAAGAAGAGATGAAGGCTCTGAAGAAAAATCAGACATGGACACTGGAAAAATTACCCCCAGGGAAGAGGACTGTCGGATGCAGGTGGGTGTTCACTGTGAAACACAATGTCGATGGGTCCATTGAACGCTACAAAGCAAGACTTGTGGCAAAGGGATACACACAGAATATGTTGCTGCTGGATTATCAATCAGAATTACACATAAGATTACACATCCTCACTGGCATTATCAATCAGAATATGTTTCCAAAAATTCTAATCCTCACCATTTTGAGTATAAAAAAAAAAACATTTCACGCAGATGGCTCCAACTAAAAATGCAAACATTTACAGGGGCTCACACTTTCTCTTCTTCTAAACCTCTTATTCGAAAAAGAGACATAAGATTATAAATAAATCAAGTACCAGATATTGAAATGAACAAAATGAAAAGAATCTCAACACGATCTCACTCTTCCGTGTCGTTCACCTCCGTTGGAACCCACCCACCAAAAATCTCACTACTACAAAAAAGGAAAAAGACGACGGGAATTCACCGTCATGTATCGGGTTTTCAAACCGTCGTAAAATCGACCGACATCTTTTTAAAAGTAAAACCACGACGGTAAATCACCGTCGTTGTTATTACAAACAACGTCATTAACAAAAAAAAACCGACGTCTTTATACTGAAAAATGAGCCAAAAAATTGTCAAGGATAAGAATAGACGACCTATTTTATACAAAACCCGTCGTGTAAATAAATACAATACGTCTTTAAATAAATAAATTACGACGTTATTAAAACATACTACGTCTCATCTATTTATATAACCGTCGTGAAATGATTTTTCCACTTTGTTTTTTCCATTAATATTGACGTGGAAATAGCGGTTAGGGTAATTACTTACGACACATGTATTTCTATAAGCGACGTTATATTTAATAAACAACGTTGTCCACAACTAAAAGACAACCGTGTTTCAGAATTTCTACGTCATCTTTAAACACAAAACCGTCATCTAATATTTTTGAAACGGCACAAATTTCCATTCGATCGCCGTATAAATATATATTAACGACATGATCTAAAAATAAACGACTTGAAAAATATGTTAGGCTCATGACTTACGACATATTTATTTCTATAAACGACGTAGTATTTTATATACAACATCATGATCATGTAAAAGACAGTCGTGTTTCTAAATTTATACGTCGTCTTTACCAAAATAATAGTCATCTAATCTATCTGAGACGGCGAAGTTTTTCACCCAATCGCCGTGGAAAATATATTTAACGACATAAGAATAAAAAAGAGACGCGGATATTCCCATATAACGTTGTTTTTGTAAAAGAACGATGTCCAAATATCATTTTACGTCTACAAATTTACCTATGGATTTCAAATAACGTTGTGAATTGTTTATTTTTCACTTCGTTTATGACATAACAAGCGACGTGGTAAAATTTTAAGACGACGATTTTTGACTTGTTACGGACGAGTTCATGATCTAAGACGTCGTCTTTTGTAACATTTAGGTTCGATATCTCGCTTTTTAGACGTCGGTATTATGGTACTGGAGTCGTGTTATTTGTAATTACATGTCGGCTCTTTATGCTTCTCCGACGTGATATCGTTAATAACTGTTTCCCAATACCGTCGTCTTTCTTCAATTTTACTTCGCTTTTAGACGTCGGTAAATACAATGCCGTCGTTGAATGCTCCAAAACATCATTTTTTGTGGCCAATTTTATGAAAACTGACGTCTGTTTTTCACAGTTTTATGAGGACCGTTGTTTTATAATACTGAACCAGTATTTTATGTACTGATTGTTTTGTGGCCAAAACCTGCATAATGAAAGTGAAGAAAACACATTACAATTTATTACA